GCCGCTCGCAGCGCCGCCGGCGGCACTGGCACCATGGGGATGGGGGGGTGGGGTGTGGGATGACAGTGCTGGGGTGGCCGCGGCGGCTGAGACCCGATGAACGAACGCGGCTCACCCCAGGACAAAGCAGCAGAGACTGTGTGCCACCGTGTGCCATCGTGTGCTACCATGTGCCGTCGTGTGCCACTGTGCATGGGACAGAGCCGCCATGGTCATACCAAGGTCCCCATAGCTGTGCCGGGACACCCCCAGTCACACCAGGCCCCCACAGCCGTGCCAGGGAAGAGACTGGGAGCACCAGGGCCGGCCTGGAGGTGCAGCCAGGACTTGCCCGGGCGAGTGCCGCGGCCAGGGTGCAGAGCGTGGTGGTGTTGGTGCAGGCTGGGCTCCCCAGGGGCGCGTGGGAATCCCTCCCGCTTCTGCCGCATTGCTCGTGGGAGACTCATGGGGACGAGGAGCCGGCAGTGCCAGCGCTGCCCGCGGTCCCCAGCTGGCACCGGACGGCACCACGCTGCTCCTGGCACAGCCCAGCGCCCCTGTCCTGAGCTGGTCCTGGGCATGAGTACTGGGGCATGGCATGGCACAGTATGGCCCAGCACAGAATGGCCCAGCACAGCGTGGCACAGCACGACGTGGCAAGCCCTGGGCCATGCCCAGCTCTGTGCCTCTGTTTCCCTGCTCCTGGTGTGCCATGCTGTGCCATGACGTGCCACACATGCCATGCCACGCTGAGCCGTGACATCCAAAGCTAGGCAATGCCATGCTGTGCCATGCCGTGCAGTGTGCTACCGCTGCCACGACGCTCTTCCCCCGCCCCCCAGTCTCCAGGGGCCGGGCCGAGGTGCCGGTTTGGGGTCCGGTTCAGAGGCAAGGAGGGGTCCCGTCCCCCCCAAACCCCGCCGGGGCCACCGGTTGGGAGAAGGCGGCACCGCAGGGGTTAAACGCCGGCCCCACCGACTCGCCAATGGGAGGCGGCGGGGCGGTGACGGACAGGGGGCGGGCGGTGCTGGGCGGGCG